GAGAAAGACATGTATCGTATGACCTTACTGATATGAGGAATTCTTAATCTCAGGAAACGAGGGTTGCTAGAGTGGTGGGGGGTGGGAGGGATCTGTGTGATAGACATTGGGGAGGGTATGTGCTATGGTGAGCGCTGTGAATTGTGTAAGACTGTTGAATCACAGACCTGTACCTCTGAAACAATACATATATGTTAAAAAAAAAAAAAAGCAGGAAAGGAAAAATGAAGAGGGGGAAATCGGGGAGACGAACCATGAGAGACTATGGACTCTGGGAAAGAGTTTTAGAGGGGAGAGGGGTAGGGGGATGGGTTAGCCTGGTGATGGGTATTAAAGAGGGTAGGTACTGCATGGAGCACTGGGTGTTATACGCAAACATTGCTCATGGAACGCTACAGCAAGAACTAATGTAGTGTGTAGTGATTAACATAATTAAAGATAAATTGTTATGAAAAAAGCAAGATGCAAAATAAATGGTCCCATTTATGTAGCTATAGATGAATAAATATGTAGATATATACACGTCTATATGAAACATTGATTTTCTTTAAAAATAGCAAATGGCTGGGTGTGGGTTATAGAAGGGAATGCTGAAGGAGCATGGCCCCTTTTTATCCTACAAGCTTCTATAGAGTCTGCATTCATTTTGAGAAAAAGATGTTTTGCTTATGAATAGACTAATACAGGTAAGAGAGGGTTAATATGTAGATTTACTTTCAACTTTTTATTTGACATGTAAATACTTAACTGATGGCTATTTTACTTCTATCAGTAAATATATTCATATTATTTATCACTTTATAAAAATAGCAGCCATTTACTGAGTATATCCCTCTCTGAGTTAAATCTTCCACATTCCTGAAATCTATAAGACTATATGGGGTGAAAGCAGTTATACTCTACAGCTGAGGAACCTGAGGTTTAGGTAAGTATTTTGCCCAGGTTACTTAGTATGAGCCAGAGCTGGGCTCTAAAAGCCTGTGCTTACAATTAAAGGTTAATACTAGTCACTAATACTTACAAGAAAGCTAACATACAGAACTGTCTCTGGTACATGTCATCTGATGATAAACAGCCTCACAAATTTTCACCAAGGAACTGCAGTTTAAGAGGTACCTTAAAAAACTGGAGACTGTGCAAGCACACAGTCAAGATAGCGAAAGAAAACTTTATGTTAAGTTTTAGGGTTAGGGTTAGAGATACAGATAGAAAAAGAGGATATTGCTTCAGCAGAATTGTGGCAGCCATCTTCAAAAACCTAAAATGTTCTATGGAAATAGATCTAAATTTACCCTATATGATTTTGGAGAGCTGAACAGGGTCAGGGAGAAAATTACAGGGAAAACGATCTTTATGAAGAAAACTTTCTGTTAACATAGACATTTCTTAAAATGAGATGGACTTCCTCCTATCACTGGAAGATTCAGAGGCTAAATAGCTACTTACCTCAGATGCTATAGAAAAGATTAATGTAGAACTTTCAACTACATAAGCTCTAGGATTTCCTTTAAGAGTCTATAGCTTTTAGATTTTCTTAAGAGTTATTTTTGAACTATATTTATCATTTACATCTGCAGCAAAGCAAGAAACACGAAGTTAAGTTTTCTGATACTACAACTTATACTACTATACATAATGTTACCCATATTCCCTATAGCATACATATTCACCTTCGGTTCATCTGATGGCAGCAGTTTAAAGCAGACTTTGGGCATTCTGGTTTTGATCACAGTGAAGTATTTAATGTCCTTTAGTGAAAGGTGTTTCCTTACCTATAGAACCGCCTCCCTGGTAAACCAAGGGGATCGATGAATGCTCTCTCCAGGAGCATCAGTTGGTCATTCATGATTCTCACTGCAATGGGACTTGAAAAATAAAGAGTTATAGTTACTTACCATGGAACTATAGTTTTTTTTTTAATTATGTTAATCACCATACATTACATCATTAGTTTTTGTGTATCTTAAAATACAGGATAAAGCATGGATAAAGCATGGAAAAATAAACTTCTAAAATCAGATTTTTAAGAAAATGCAGATTAATAGTAATGCTTTATATGTAAACTACATATAACAACGGAGGCATCTTTCTAATATTCATAATAAGAGAGACCTATTGGAAATGGTTCGTTTTGTCAAGACCACAGAAAGGACAGAAAGACATTTTTAATTCTTTCTAGGAGGAGAGCCCAGCCTCCTGCAGAGGCAGATTGGGTGTACTATCAAATTAATGCCACTGAGTAAAGGCTAAACAACAAATGAAGGGAATTCGCAACAGTCTGCAAGAAGAGTTGGGGTAGGGGGTAGCTGCACATCATGGGCAGGGAATCCCCTTTCATACTTGGAATCTGCCAACTCTTTTTGGGGTGCTACATAGGTTCTCTGGGCTTTCCTACAACCCGAGGGAGAGAGAGAAGTCCCTCAAAATGAAGGATACATCTTGTTGCCAATACGGGTGGTGAAAAAGCTTATTCTAATTGGATCTGAACAAATAAATGTGACCTGGACTACAGTGTGGAACAATTTATGCTTGTTAGATAATGCTTTAAATACAAATTTTTCATTATATTTCAATCTAAAAGTGACAAGCAGTTAAATGAAATGCAAAAAAAACTTCTGCAATTGGTCAGGGAAGTATTGGGACTGTAGTGAAATTCATACTACAAATGCACTTAAACCATGGAACTGTGAATTGCCAGCTATCCTCCTTGGCCCTTGTCTTGGAATGAGTTTTTAGTCTACCATAGAGTAATGCTTCTCAAACTTCAATGTGAATACAGACCATTCTGGAGAGTCTTGTTAAAAAGCGCGGAATTCTAATTTAGGAGGTCTTCGATGGCGTTTCATATTCTGTCTTTCAAACAAACTCCTAGGTAATGCTGATGCTGCTGGTTTACAGACCGTAGAGCAATGATGTAGAGTTGAATGCTTACAAAGTGTACACAATTCATTCTAGTAACTAGATCACTTTTCAAAATGATGGGGAGCTTTACATTTGAAACTTACTTATTAAGATCAACTTGTGTAAGTCTTCTATGAAAATCTGAAGCAGCATCTGAGAAGTTCTTCACAGCAGAAAATAAAGAATCTTTTAAAAATACAAAAGAGGAAAGTCAGTAAGAGGAGCTTATTTCACATGTTCACTTTCCCACCCACCCCATTCCAGGCTGATATGAGTGAATAGATACTGAAACAATTTTGAGCCTTCCTGCAGATCCATGGAAATCATCAGAAAATTTGTAACAGGAAAGGGAGGGGGCGGGGCAAGATGGCGGATGAGTAGGAGACCGGGATTTCATCTGGACTCAGGAATTAGCTGGATAGGGATCAAACCATTCTAAACACCTACGAACTCAACAACAGGAGATCGAAGAAAAGAATAGCAACAACTGAACAGAAAAGCGATCACTTTCTGGAAGGTAGGATGTGTGGAGAAGTGAATCCAAGGCGATATTTGGGAGGATAGACGGCGGGGGAGGGGCCCTCCGTCGGCTGCTTCTGGCAAGTGATAGAGCCACGGAGCACAAAATTGGAACTTTTAGAAGTCGGATCCGCTGAGGGACGTCGCTCCAGTGGCTAAGCTGGGGGTGGAACCCTCGCAGGATAGTGTGGTCTCAGGACCCTCGGGGTCACAGAAGGACTGGAAGTGCCTGAGTGCGGCAGAGCTCTCAGGTATCAGAGCGGGGAAGCTGGCTGCAGAGACAGAGCCGAGGCATGGGCTCTCACCTCGGGGTTGCCATAAACTGATCGGCGACACAGTTGGGCCACTGCTCCTCCAGCAGGGAACCAACAAGCGGCAGATCGGGGAGACTCCCCTTCCTCCCCCGGGGAAGAGCGGCGTGACAGCGCACCGCAGGGATCTGCTGGGTTTGGAGACTCCACATGGGGTCGGGTGCCAGAGACAGAAACACTCGGTCACAAGCCGGGTGAGCACGGGAGTGCGGCCAGAGACCAGGGAGAAGGGAGTGACTGCTTTTCTCTGGGGGCGCACTGAGGAGCAGGGCCCCGAGTTCTCGGCTCCTCCGGGGTGGAGACTGGGAGGCCGCCATTTTCACTGTCGTCCTCCAAAGCTGTAGGGAAAGCTTGTAGGGAACAAAAGCTCCTGAGAGCAAACCCGAGCGGATTGCTTAACCCGGACCCGGCAAGGGCGGGGCAATTCCGCCTCCGGCAAAGACATTTAGGAACCACGGCAACAGGCACCTACCCCAGAAGATCAGCAACAGCCAGCCAAGACCAAGTTTACTGATCAATGAGAAGGGCAGAACTCCAGCGCTAGGGGAATACTGCACATAGAATTCATGGCTCTTTTACCATGATTCATTAGTCTTTCAAAGTTAATTTTTTTTAACTTTTTTTTTGAATTTTTCTTTTTCCCTTTTCAACCATCTTATCAATCCCTTTTAAAAAAAAATTATTTTTCATTTTTAGAGTCATATTCTATCCCTGCATAGTAGTTACCCTTATTTTCAGCATATATGTAAGTTGTTCTCTCTTTAAAATTTTGAGATACAGTTTCTTCTACATATCAAAATGTACCCTAAATCTCTAGTGTATGGCTTTGTTCTAGCCTGCCTGCTCACATTCTCTCCCTTTTTTTCTTTTCTTTTTTTTAATCCTTTCTTTTTTCAAACATCTTATCAATTTCCTTTTTAAAATTTTTTGTAATTTTCATCTTTACAGTCATATTCCATCCCTTCATCATATCAACCCATATTTTGTACATATATGTCTTTCTTTCTTTAAAATTTTAGGAGGAACTTTCTTCTAACAGACCAAAATACACCCAAAATCTAGTGTGAGCCACTGATCTATGCACCAGCCTGATCATATTTAGGCATAGTCTGTTTTGTTTTGTTTTGTTCGTTTGTTTTTATCTTTTTTTTCTCTTTTTTCTTTCTTTCCCTTTCTTTTCCCCTGGTTTCAGGTCTTTTCTGATTTGATTAGAGTATATTTTCTGGAGACGTTGTTAACCTGTTAGCATTTTGTTCTCTCATTCATATATTCTCCTCTACACAAAAAGACAAGATGAAAGATTCACCTCAATAAAAAGAACAAGAG